CAAGTATACACATACCAACATACATAGGTCTATCCATTTTAATAGTAGTTTTGTCCATTGACACACAAACAAGATTTTCATTTATGATAATAGATGATTTAAAATTTGGTTGCCTTACAAGTTTTTCTACCTTTTTGGGATCCGATACTAACTTAACATTTTTATGTTTTCTTTTATTTTCTAAGGTCTTTCCAAATATCGCATTATTCATCAGCTTAAAAAAGTCCTTTTGGAAAGCTGATGATGCTGCAGCTCTTCTTTTTGTGTTTGAGTCAATATATGTTTTTAACCAACATGATTGATTAAACTGTAAAACACGGTGAACTTTTTTTAATTTTAGACCGAGTTCAATGGCTTGTTGGACAACCCAAAAATGGGCAACATAGCGTTTCTTGTCGTTAAGCGTCATCATCAGCTTAGGGTGTTTTCCCTCTGGTGGTATTTCGGATTTAGCTAATAGAGGTAAATCATAGTGATGATCATGAAGTGTGGATGGGTATTCAAAATCACACTCCATTATAAATCCGGTGTCGCCATTTTTTGGGATAGTTGTCACATCACCTAATAATATTGGATCAATCCATTGAAAATTACCATATGGAAGTGGGTTTGACATTGCCCACCCATATAAGTTATTAGCGTCAAAATACCCTAGATAAACTGATGGGTCCTCCTTCTTGAAGCCTGGAATGTGTTTATTATTTGCTTTTACATGTCGTGTAACACTCTGGGTAAGCCCTCCACGGATACTAGATTCAATCATGAGAACCATATCAATGTCTGTTAACAGCTGTAATGTACATTTTGTTTCTTTTAACATAGCTTGCCAAGCTAATCCAGGTGAGGTGTAAGAATGTAGTGGGTCTAATCCATAGGCCGCTATACAGGTGTTACGGAATTCCTCCATTATATCGCAAAGAAGTGTTACATCTAACTTCACATAAAAGTCACTATACTCGCCTAAGGTGTTCATTTTTAACTCGTTCCATACCTGGCAAGCATGTTGATAGTCTTCAGGGTCAATATTAGAATCATTTAACTGACTGTAAAATGCCTCAATGGGTGGCAGTGACGTCTCGTTGAATCTTTCAGGATTATCAATATAATCATAAGGGTACACTCCTTTACGAAGAACCAAATCCATTTTATCAGATGCAACAATCTTTTGAGTTTCAATAAAGTGTTCTCTTTGCAAATTAGCTGTCAATTTCTCTAAACTAGAAGCCATGAATCTAAAAGAGTCAACAAACCTTAATTTTATTTTACCCACTTTTTTCGAAAAACTTATAAATTTCTCCGTGCTTGTAGCTAAAACATCAATCGCCCCTTTGTCCCTACCTAATTCAGGAATTATGAAATGTGAGTCATATCCACTTAAATTGTGGAACACTACAGGGATAAACTTTGGTAATTTAAAATTAATGTTACACCTGTTGCAAGCAGGGCCTTTGTAAAAACCAGTCAGGTGATCATGATCACGCACACGCCTGTTGTCTTCTGTAAAACTACAGTCACAAAGGTAACATCTATCCGCACTTTCATGGAATGTCAATTCATCATGTTGAAGATTGTTCATCGGAACTACATAACTATACAGTTTTTCTACCTTATTAGCTATATCATACAGGTTATCTACAAATGTCTTAGCAGCATTTTCACCTCGATATACAAGTGGTTGGGTTGTTAACCCATACCGACGTAGATGATCTTCTTCCAAAGTTGATTTAAGCATTAAACAAAAGCTGTTTGGTTCATGAAATTGAAATTTTTTAATTTTACTTTGATCACACTCATCTATAACTAAAGGAACTAATGATGACTCAAAGTCTGCATATATAACAATTGGTATTCGATATTGTTGAGCGGTTTTGTTGAATTTAATAAAAGCTCTATTAGGGGGAGGTAATTTAACCCTTACTTCATCCTTACTATTGCAGAGACGTTGGTGGTCAAGTAACCATTCCTTACCACCCATCTGAAATGGTTTGGCAACATAGCAAAAACAACGTTTGCAAATAGTGAGTCTCATCTTCCTTTTGGATAGTTGTCTTGATAAAAGTGCATTAAAGTTTTTGATGTATACATAATGTGAGATTTTACCATTTGTGAGGAGTAAAAGATCAGTATGGTCTTTACGCTCATGAGATGTAACCTGAATGGGAAAAACATTATTAGACTCATCCAATCCATAGACATTAACTGATGAATTAAGATTCTGTTTTTCAAATCTCTTGATATCTTTTAAAGACACTGGGTAAGACAAACCTGAGAAATTATATTTATGAGCCACTTCACTATAATACCGGCTAGGTCTATAGGCATTCCTATCTTCAACAAACTTTGCTAAAAGTGCATATTTAAAACATTCATTGTCCTCATTTTGAACATTTATACAAGTTCTTGTATCAGCAATTTTTTTAGGCAGTGGAATGAAACTACTACCTCTATCACCATATCCATGTTTATGTACACGTATATCTAAACTGTCTACACTTAGCAAAGACCACCCAGATCCTCTTCCTTCATGTTCAGATATTTTAACAACAATTTCTTGTAAGCAACTGTCGACTTCAGCCTCTATATCACTGGTTACCATGATCGATTTATTTCGTGTTATAAACCCCCGCGGGGAAACCTCATTTTGCACATTTGTAAATCTAGTGTCCAAGAGCAAGCCGAATTTGATAAAATTAAGTCTGGTTAGTTCCTTTTCTAGTGTTTCTATGATAAGGGGTTTAGCTTTTAAAATAAAATCTGACAATTCATAATTGTTATTAGAAATTTTGAAATGGTTTACTATTGCTTTAGGAAATGCTTGAGCTAATATTTCTACTGACAATTGTTGGTTTGGTGGTGCATACTGTATAACTGTTGATCTATTCTGTTGCAAGAAGGGGTCTTCAACGAAATCTTCATATTCCATCGGTGCTGAAGATTCATTAGGTCTATGTAAGAGTTCATGATGAATATTTAAGAGCAATTCATCCTCAAAAGACTCCCAACAATTTTCACATTGATACATTTTTGCAGGTTTAAGACACTACTTAGAAAACTATCTACATTACACACTGCATGGTTGTATTCACAGTAATGATATGGGTGGGGCTCAGGACTCATATATATAGCACAGTGTATAACCCCCACTCCATTTTTATTCAATGAAGGGGCGTGTTAAACCCCCCACCAATGGCTTAAGTATTTTATAAATAACACCTGAAATAGGGGTTTAGCATACACATTCACAATGCCTCCTACAGACCACACATACCTTACTGGAGTAGAGCCCAGAATCTTACCGACTGATTTTGATGAAGCAGGGAATGTGGAAGAAAACAATACAGAAAGTGACGAGGACTTGCAAGAGATGCTAGAAGAACAAGTGGACGAAGAGTTTATTAATGAACAAATTCAACCCACTGAAGACACACCAATTAAAGAATTTCATTCGGACTATTGTGAAACACCAACGATTCCAGTTCAAGCAGATGAAGTTGAAAATGGTGAAAACAAACTTTGTCGAATATTACAGTTTTGTGGTAATGTTCGTAGAAGATTATCATTTAGTTCAGAGAGTGAATCATAAAACATGTAGCTATTTTATTGTTTTTTAAAAATTCTTCAGTTTGACCTTGACCTAATTGTTTGGGCACAGTATTACGCTTTAACAATATTCTATGACTGTATTGGTCTTAATTATGAGTACCTAAAATGATTTGGAATATTAACAATAGATAAGGTTTTCATAAGAAAAACTAAACATAAAATTCAAGCACATTTTATTTTTGTCTAAGTAGAAAAAACAAATAATGACAAAATATAAAATATATTGTAAACAGTTTTTGTATTGAACTAATATGAAGTAAATTTTGTTTTGCTAAATAAATGCTATTTTGATTTAATTTGAAAGTCCAGGAATAATTTAAAGTTTAAGTATAAAGATAAGAGTTCAAAAACAATAGAATATATATATATATGGAGGAATTAGCCTGAGAAAGTTACTACAAATAAGTATATATATGTATATATTTTACCTTGAATTGTTAAGTTATACAGCATGGCATTGAAGAAATATAATCTTTATTGTACAATATGAACGATTAAAATGTTAAATATAACTTGGTCTAAATATATTATACACAAAACTTTAGGAACACATTATAAGATTATGACAAATGTGTTCCTAAACCTTTACGATAAAATAGGTTGAAAAGCTCAAGGTCACTCTTTGAATGCAAAAATTGGGAACGCATTTGTTATGATACAACAAATGCGTTCCCAATTTTTGCATACTAAAGGAAAATAAAGAAAATAATAAAAACACGTTAAAACTAAAAACCAATTTACAATGTTACTGTAACCAATCCCGAAGACCGATCACGAATTAAGTAGTATCGGTGTGGTGTATTCGGGATGGTCATGCCTCTTGGTAATTTAAGGCGGAACCTGTCATTTCCTTCTTTTAAAATGACTTCACCACTAGGTGTCATCATTAGAATTTCTAACTTTTTGTTTTTGGGCAACCTATTAATTCTGGTTTTTTTGGCAATAATTTGTGGTGGACGACAGGGTCGAGCAAAGCCTGACGTCCGTGGTTGGCTGGGTAAGATCTTGTTTATCACAACAACACGGGAGGTGCTCGGTGCCGGATCAGATAAGCAAGATTTTTCCTGAGCCTGATTTTGTACAATAATTGATGGTCTTGATCTTTCAAATGATGGAGGATTTTCTGTGACAGGATTATTATTAACAATTTTAGGTTGGGCGGGTACCATCCTGCTTTTCCCCTTAGTGTGGAGGCTACACACATTGGTATCGGAAAAGCAGGATTTTTCACAGCGCTCACCTTTTTTCACCCCTTTTTGGAAAACATAAGTACATTGAGACTTGATCTTAAATGCTGCTCGTCTTTTTGCCATAAGTTTTTGCATTTTTTCAGAAGGGGTTTTTTGTGAGGGAAGGGATTCTTTTGAGGACTCGGGTTTTGCAAATAGTTTTCTTACAACAGCAGGTGCAGCAGGGAGGGATTTGGGTGGAGGTAATGGAATGGTTATTTCAGGAGAATCTATGTTGGTAATCTGGTTTGAGGATGGATTTAAATTAGGAAGAGTTAGGTTAGGTGTTTGAGGTTTTGGAGATGACTTATCTTTGTTAGGAGATGACTTGTTTTTGAGAGGAGACGGCTTATCTTTGGGAGGAGATGGCTTTTCAGGAGATTTGATAGGGGATAGTAAGGAGACAATCAAGGGAGAAAGTAGCATTGATAGGGGGGACATATTTCTTTGTTTTCGGGGGGATGACGTAGAAGACGAGGACGAGGATGATGAAGACAAGGAGTCAAAAGACGAGGATGAAGAAGAAGACGATGGCGATGATGGAGGCCTAGGTTTCAAAGTGTTGGCAGCAGAAGAAGAAGGTCCAGGCTCTTGAATATTCTTGACGATAGAAGTTGACGATCCAGGCTCTGGAGAAATCTTGGAGACAGGCAGAGGCTTTGAAGTGTTGGCAGCAGCAGAAGGTCCAGAAGAAGTGTTGGCAGCAGCAGAAGAAGGTCCAGGCTCCTGAATCGTCTTGGAGACAGTACATTCTTTCCTTATTTCCCCATTCAATGCCTGGAGAAGTTTGGACCTTTTCACTCCAGCCACCGGCTTCATCGGCTTAGTGGTCTTTCTGAAGCAGGGGTCCATGGCTCTTCTGCAGGCAGGCAACAGAATGATGTTATTAACCAAAATGCTCTCACATATATACCCACTCCAAGTGGTGGGGGATATAGGTATAGGACAGAGTGGGGGAAGTTAGGAGTGTTGTAAAAGGGTGGGGAGTGGGAAATAATTATATCTAATAGGAAGAGTTTGGCTATGGAATGATAAACTATTTTCAAAGATAAAGTTTCAACTAACCAATCATAAAAGTAGGTCAAGGTCATCCTCTATTAAAAAAAAAACCGAAAGCCATGCAAGAAAAATAGTAGTGCAAAGATTCAAACTACCAACACCAAAACACAACTACTGGTGCATAGTATCTACAAGACTATCTACAAGTAAGACTACAACAGTACATGCATGAAGAACCTGAAAATGATTAGACATATAGACAAGATTTGAATAGGGTATGGAGATCTAAGTACAATTGGTTTTCATGCCATTTTGCACTTTAAGGAAACACATAAGGTTTTCTTGCCTCTATGTGTGTTAAGGAAGGATAGAGTTTAACCTGAAAATGATTAGACATATAGACAAGATTTGAATAGGGTATGGAGATCTAAGTACAATTGGTTTTCATGCCATTTTGCACTTTAAGGAAACATCAGGTTTTCTTGCCTCTATGTGTGTTAAGGAAGGATAGAGTTTAACCTGAAAATGATTAGACATATAGACAAGATTTGAATAGGGTATGGAGATCTAAGTACAATTGGTTTTCATGCCATTTTGCACTTTAAGGAAACACATAAGGTTTTCTTGCCTCTATGTGTGTTAAGGAAGGATAGAGTTTAACCTGAAAATGATTAAACATATATACAAGATTTGAATAGGGTATGGAGATCTAAGTACAATTGGTTTTCATGCCATTTTGCACTTTAAGGAAACATCAGGTTTTCTTGCCTCTATGTGTGTTAAGGAAGGATAGAGTTTAACCTGAAAATGATTAGACATATACATTGGAGGTCAACCTGCAAACAAAATAAACAACAAGTTAGTTAACCAGAAAACAAAACAAGTGAATATAGTAATGCAACAACAAGTTAGTTAACCTGAAAGGAAAAAACAAGTAAACATAGCAATTCAACAAAAGATTAGTTATTATTAACCTGAAAAAGAAATGAGCTGATATATGAATGCGGGCCCAACATTGCATAAGTTAGCTCACCGTTCATCACTTGATGTGCAGCTTGCTTGTGCACATGATGTGTACCTGGCAAGAGCACGTGATGAACAGTGAAGTTTGAAAGAACTCCAACTAGTTTTATGCGCTCTGGTGGGGGGCCGGGCTATATGGGGGTGTGGTCTACTCAGCCAATCACAGGACAGGTGGTGTAGTGGGGAGGGCTCACTGGGGGCGTGGTCTACTCAGCCAATCAACGGACAAGTGGTGTAGTGGAAGTCTCGCAATAATGAAGCAAAGGGGGGGGGGGTGTAACTAACACGTGCAGCTACTAATCATATTTGTATCAATCCAAAACAATATACATGCTTAAAACTGAAGTAAAGTCCATTAAAAGGTATAAGTTGTTCGCTTAAGAATGGTATATAATCAGAGAAACAATTTTCTTCAGGCCTCAAGAACAAGATATTAAATCAATTAAATTACTAACCAAGCTAATTACAATATGAGAATACAACAACATTTAGCAGACACCAATATGTAACCCATGCAATATATTTAATTATACATGTAGATTTCAACTAATATATCACATCATTTCAGCTACGCAAACACAATATGGAACAGAGAATAATTAGACCTACCTATTTCAGTAGAAATCAGGAACACTTGGTGTATAAAGTTAGGCCACGATAACTCTAGAAAAGAAAATGCACATTAAATTTATTAAGTATTGTAACCATTTTATGCATTTATTTTGAAAAAAAAAAATCTTAAGCAAGCTATATTTTAATTTCAAATTATCAGAAGATACATAAAACGGTTTTGTTATTGCTTAAAGACCTATGAGATAGTTTGATTATTGTTTTCAAACCATTCCCAATAACAATCAAATAAGGAAATCACTGACAGTATTTTCTATCTTAAACAATCGTATAAGAATCATCTTCATCAAGCTACATTTTAACAAAGTCAAAATTCAAACCTTTGAATGATCACAAAAACAGTTTTATTACTGTCGCAAGAAGGAAAAAGTTATCAGTTATTTTCAATCATATACAATTGCAATTCCCAATAAAAATCAAATAAGAAAATCACTAACATTATTTCCATTATAAACAATCGTATAAGGAAACACCTACATTTTAACAAAGTCAAAAACATATATTAAATTAATCGAAAGATCACAAAAACTGTTTTATTATTTAAAAACCTAGCAGTGTGAAGCGATTCCCAATAAAGCTACATTTTAAAAAAAGTCGAAATTCAAACCTTTGAATGATCACAAAAACAGTTTTATTACTGTCGCAAGAAGGAAATAGCCATCAGTTATTTTCAATCATATACAATTCCCAATAAAAATCAAATAAGAAAATCACTAACATTATTTCCATTATAAACAATCGTATAAGGAAACACCTACATTTTAACAAAGTCAAAAACATATATTAAATTAATCGAAAGATCACAAAAACTGTTTTATTATTTAAAAACCTAGCAGTGTGAAGCAATTCCCAATAAAACTACATTTTAACAAAGTCGAAATTCAAACCTTTGAATGATCACAAAAACAGTTTTATTACTGTCGCAAGAAGGAAATAGCCATCAGTTATTTTCAATCATATACAATTCCCAATAAAAATCAAATAAGAAAATCACTAACATTATTTCCATTATAAACAATCGTATAAGGAAACACCTACATTTTAACAAAGTCAAAAACGTATATTAAATTAATCGAAAGATCACAAAAACTGTTTTATTATTTAAAAACCTAGCAGTGTGAAGCGATTCCCAATAAAGCTACATTTTAACAAAGTCGAATTTCAAACCTTTGAATGATCACAAAAACAGTTTTATTACTGTCGCAAGAAGGAAATAGCTATCAGTTATTTTCAATCATATACAATTGCAATTCATAATAAAAATCAAATAAGAAAATCACTAACATTATATCCATTATAAACAATCGTATAAGGAAACACCTACATTTTAACAAAGTCAAAAACGTAAATTAAACTAATCGAAAGATGACAAAAACTGTTTTATTATTATTTAAAAACCTAGCAGTGTGAAGCGATTCCCAATAAAAATCAAACAAGGAAATCACTAACATTTACTTCCATCTCAAACAACCATATAAGAAAGAAGCAATTTATAATTCATCAAATGATCACAAAAAGCAGATATGTTACGATTTTAGACCTAACAGTATGTGAGGTAATTCTCGATAAAAATCAAATAAGAAAGAAGCAATCTATTCCAGCTATATTTTACTAAAGTCAAAAGACTTAATTTAGAAGTTATCAAATGACCACAAAAAGCAGTTATGTTATGATTTAACACATAACAGGATGAGAGGCTATTCTCAATAAATATCACTAACAGTTTCTTCCATCTTAAAAATTTGAATCAAACTATATCTATATATAAAGCCAAAAGCACCCATAAACTTTTGAGAAAACTAAAAGTCACACCCCCATTATTGAGCGAAGCTCACTTTCCCTCACTTTGTAACTTCTTTATAAGAGCATCAGAATGTAATGGCTTGACCAATTAATATGAAATTTGGCCAACAGCTAAACAATACTGAGTACAATGTTTTGGTAAAAAATATTTGCGAATTTCCTTCTGGATTTTATTTTACGGGTCACGCAATTTCGCTTGTTATTTTAATGTAAGTTGAAATAAAAATTATATTGGGTTTATGACATATGGGTTTATCTCATTTCATTTAAATAAGATAAACATATATTAATTGTTTGTAACTGTTTTGTTTACATTTCAATGTTTACTTTCATCCTAGGTTAAAGTTGGAATGTAACAGTTTATCAATGGAAGTAACAGTTTTGCTATATTTGTTTGTTGCTCAAAGGCCCAACGTAATATTGGTCGTCGCACCAATAATGCAAATATTGTAAGAGAGTGGTGTCGTGAACAAAAAGAACCAGATGAAGCTGATAATGATAGGCAGATAGCTAATCAATTCCAACATGAATTAGATGCACTAAAATTTTACACTTTGGACTAACTGTCATCAGCAACGACTAACAGCTTCAAATCAATTACCAATTTGTTCCCGTTGTCGTTCAAATGCAACGTAATTCACGGCGTTAAATAATATGGATGTGTCAAGTGCCCCGAACGAATTAACTGACCTGGCGATTGTAGAACAAATTTTGATTGCACGAGTACATCCTGCTATGCACATTTACAAAGTACAAGCAAATGGTCAGGATGGCCAGTTTCACTACAAAGGTACAGTATGAACTATCAGATAAATTTGTCATTCTTTAGAACTTAAATAATATCGGGCAAACAAACGGTGCATCTGTTGAAAGGGAACATATTGTAGGGTGTTAGCTGCTTTAGCCATTGACAATCTTTAAATAATGCTTCGCTCATTTATGCGTCTAAAGTGTAACGGCAGACCACCTTAGTATTAGCGGGAAGTCTCAAATCAAAGAAATAAAATTACCCAAACTTAAATTACGCAACACAGGCTATCAGTTAGGCAACAGTTTTCTTTAATTCTCAATGCTGTAAAAACTTTGTTGTAACATGTTAACCCAAATTGAAGCAGATCGTTTAGCATTCATTGGAAGTTATCAGTTAAAACTGAGAGCAAAAAAAAAATAATGTAGGCAAACCTTTTACAACACAAAAAGAGATATTTAAAATTATTTTCTAACAAGTGTTTAAACAACTCTAAGATATAGCTAGAATTACTCAAATTGAAGCACGGGTTCTCTAGTACTAATATAATAATAGTTATAAATATATGCCACAAGAAAGATTAATTGCCTGTATGAATAAAATCTATTACAAAATATGAGACATACATTAAATGATTAAGCAATCTTAA